TGTCACTTGAGATGTGGAGCGTAACACTAGTGCAGACAGTTTGGTTTTACTTGCTGTTATGATGAAAACCGTCACTTGCAGTAGCAGGAATAGCCGATGTTACTCAGCACTTGTAGCTTGCTACTAAGCAGTATTTTCATGAGAAAAGTCACCTTCTGTTATTACAGGAGGAACCCATGTGACTCACCACGTACTACAAGCAGACATTTTTTTAACGAGAGGATTTTTATCATGCAGTTTGTGTAGCTTCCATTTGGACATTTGCTCTGCAGAGTCATTCTTACTACTTATACACTGTAAGTAGCCACATATATATCTGCCTGTATATTCATGCAGATGCCAAAGTGTCAGCTAATTACACAGAGAACGTGTAAATTGTTTCTTACGAAATGTGGGAACTTCCATAAGGAGATTTCTAGCAGCTCTGCTTCTCCAGCCAATCACAGTAGTTGGATAGTATTGAGTAGAGGAAGAAACATGGCTACAGCTTCTTGATGTCAGCAAGAGTGGGATGTTTCAAGTCTGTTGGGTTTTTGGTCTCCTGAGTGAATGAAGAATGAATGAATTTAAAATTTATTACTACATCTTCCCAATCTGTGCCATGTGTAATAAAGAACCTAAAGAGATACTTAGAAGTAATAGTGTGGTACAGCAAAGAAAGCAGTAACTGAGGATGGGGTTGCTACTATACTGTACTTGAAAGACATGTATATGCATTTTCACCTGGAAGGAGCAGTGGGTTCATAGCTGCAGTAATCCACACGTGGAAGCACTGAATAATGTTTTTTATCATGAAGGTTTCCTCTTCTTTTTGTCATGTCTTTATAATTATAATAGTAGTAACAGTATTGATTTCCTAGTAATTCATAACAGCCTGACTTAAACAGGTACCCACTATTTTGGAAAGATTGTTTTTGCTGAATTTGGTCACTGTCATCTGTTGAGAACATTTTCTTTAGTCATTAGCGAGCTCAGCTATCTGTCTTTAATACAAGGACTTTTTATACAAAACAGTTGGGACTTTTGAAGAGAGCCCTGAGCATTTGCTGCAGTCAGTCCCATCACTTGTCCCTTGTATAGTCTTCTCCCAGCCCAGGGACTGGCATTGCTGTGCTCATTTCTAGTTGTTTAGAAAAGTTGCCCTCACTAGTTCATTAGAGGCTCCTAAGGTAATTTAAAGTTTCTTTATTTTAAAGGAAGAGCTAAGGCATTATTTGGATAAAATAAGAAAATAATAATCTGAGAAAATACAGGTATTATCATGCTTTATATGGCTTGGGTTTTGTTGTTGTTTCCTATTTACAGGGAGCTATCCCTAATTACTTCTACTGAGTGTATATATTTCTGGGTTAAGTCAACACTAATAAAAGCTCATTCAAAGATGCTGATTCTCGAATTGAGTCTCAAGTGACTTTATGCATCTCATTTAGTTCTGTGTATTATTAGTCAGTAATATATGTAGAGAATACCTCGAAGAAGTGCAATACCTAAGCTGGCATAAATTAATTATTGAGACTTGCCTCCAGAAAGTTTAATTCTCTAGAATATAAAGAAGTGAGAAGAAAATCAATGTGTGTAGCTTGTTCATTGCACAAAAGGAGGAAAGGTATCAATGGATGAATGGACCCATCTGAAGCTGTGAGAGACATCTATATGCTTGCCAACATTGACCCATCTCAAGCACTCCACAGTAAGTCTGGAATATTTTTGTGAAGAAATTGCAGTACGGATAAAAAAATCTCTAGAGTGCTTACATTCAGATGTAGGTGGAATAATTTCTCATCATTTTTATGAAATTCAAGTCCTGTAAAAACTAGTATGCAATGACCCCTTCACAGGCTGTGTGTGTGTGTACTCAGCGAGTGGATTGGGTGACGCACCTCCCGACCTTGCCTGTGCCAAAGGAGGAGGAGATGATGGTTTCACGTATTCAGCTGCTTGATTTCCTTTCCACTAGCCATAATTAACATTTATTCAAGCAACATTAGGAAGAACATAAATATTGCAAAGAAGCTAATTACAGCATCCAAAACATCCTCCAAGCTATTCGTTAAATGAGGATGTGCTTTGTTCCTGCAATAGTGTAACATTAATTTCATCAAGCAATTAAACAAAACAAAAACAGACACAATAAAGGAAGATGTGTTTTTTCTCCTGTTTACAAGAATGCTCACTTGTATTTCAGGAAGTTCCTTGCGTAAAGGTGAGCAACATAAGCTATGTAAAGCTCCTATGAACTGAGGTTCAATCTTGGAGAACTTCTCTGTCAAAATTTGCACAGATTTCAGTAAAAATATTGTCTTGGTATAAACTCGAGCTTGGTCTTAACGCAAATACACTATTTTTTTCTAGTATACAATTAGGAGGACTACAGTGATTCCCAAATCAGTTTATCTTATCCAGATATCAGGAAATGCTTAGTAAAAGGCATCACCAAAAATGAAATGCAGTTCACACAGGGTTTGAAGTACTAGAGGACTGTAGCCTGGTAGGATTTGAAAAATACAGTTCAGAGTGCAAATGGGATTGCACATATAATGGTTACTGCTTTTGCAGATGAAAGATTATGGACCAATAAAAACTGAAGCATAGAGGAAAATACTAAATGTGTTCTTTTTCCTGGTAAATGGAAAATCAAAATTTTTCTACCTGGAAGTTTTTTTTGTCACCTTTGAAATCTCTTTCAATATGTTTTTGTGCAAGTGGACTAAGCAGAAGTTTTTAGTTTGCAATATTAAAACAGGTATCACAAAATTGCAGGTTCTGGGCTAATCAGAACTCTTTCAATTGAAATATTCTGTACCATTCAACAGGTGTAGAATGTTTACAGATATTTACCTCTTAAATTAGAAAATACTGCATTTTATTTCACAATCTATTAAATATTTAACAAGAAGATATTAATTAGAATGCATAACAATTTAAAACCTTACTCAGGCCAAGGCTCAGGGCACTGATTCATTTATTTGAACCAAGACAGATAAGGGAGATATTGTTCAGCACTGATGACTTCCCATTTATAATAATGTCCTCTAGATAAATCTCTTCTGTTTTTAATAACAGAAACCAGAACCAAATGCAATTCCTTGATTTGGATTGTTTTAAAACAACACTTTTAATTAGGTATATGTAAATATAGTAATACCTACAAAATACAGGCTTCTTTAATTTATGTACGGATCTGATGACTGGTTTTCTGTCAACACAAGGATTGGCTCTGTCCCCAATCATATTAAGAAAAGCTTTGCAGCTGAATGTGATAAAGAAAACAGTTCTATGACTATGAGAATTTTATAGCATCTTAACATGCTGCTTGGCAAAGCTTTCAAAATTTTGATGGCCTGGCAAAGAGTTCAGGGTGACAGAGGACAGTTTGTAGCATGTACAACTGATAAGAGTAAAGGCAAAGAGCAGACAGCAATGCTATGGTTATAAATCAAAATTCTCTTTTTTTTTTCACAGTAACTGCCCCAGCTCTTGTCTGGCAGCTCTACTCTCGTCACCCACCATTCACCCCCCAGCCAAAATAAAAAAGAAGTGTTTTGGAAGATAGCAATCTCTAATATTGTATCACTGTTTCATTGCTGGACCATGATGGAACATTGCCTTTTAAACTCAGAAAAATCAACCAAGCAATAACATAGGAGTGAATGGGGAAAAAAACAAACCAACAAAAATCAGAGAAATAAAACCTAAAGCTAGTCTAAGGGGTGATGCTGCCCTGAAACTCTCAGTAGCATCTCAGTGTTGGAGCAGCACCTCAGCCGTGCAGGATCTTCCTAGAGGAAACAGCGAGAGAGCGAAGACAGTAAGGCATGTGCCCTTGGAGAAAGCAGACCCTGCTGCTGGGCTTGGAGTGAGGAGCACATCAGCACCAGCCTGAGCATCCTGCTGGGGGTGAGCATGAATGAGAAGCTCAGGCACCTGCAGACTTCAGTAGTAGGTCTGGTATGTCAGGGCCTGCTGCATTTTGGGGGTGGCTGGACTAAGTTGCCCTAGATCTGGGGGCTGTGTGTTTTTGAATATCTCATAATGTAGTTGCCTTAGCTATTTACATGCATAAAGAACAACTGGGAGCAATGACTGTGGCTGTATTTTAAGTAAAATACCTTGCTAGATATCAAATTAGGATTTTAATCCTTAAATATTACCATATTATCAAGCTGTTTAATGGTGTGGCACTTTGTGTGTGTGTATTTAAGGCATGGGGAAAGTCAGGAATTTGTCACACCCTTGCAGCAGGGGGTCCTTCAGAAACCCAGCAATGGACAGGTCCTGGGGCAGATGGGTGCACATCCTCAGAGCCCCACATCCCAGCCACCAACATCCTGTCCCACATGCAAACTCAATGAGTTTTCACTCCTAGGTTCAGCTAGTTGAGTGAAAATCAGTGTGAGATTTCCCTGCTTTAAACCATGCCTCCCCAGAAGTGTCCAAGGCCAGGCTGGTTGGGCCTTTCAGCAACTTGGTGTAATGGGAGGTGTTCCTGCCCATGCAGGGGGGCTGGATCTAGATGACTTTTAAGGTCCCCTCCAACCCAAACCATGTTATGATTCTATGGTTATTCTGTCCACACCAGGGTCGGATGGTGTTTGAATGCTCCACTTGGACACCCCCATGCCATCAGCCTCCCCACAACGCAGAGGAAGCAGCAGCACCTTTTACTCCCGGCATCACAGCTGGTAGCAGGTCCCCGGGAGCTCCGCGCGCGTGTTGTACAACACTGATTTACCCTAAGGAGAGGGTTTAACAAGAGGCGTGAACCCTCCCGGCCCCTTCCCCCGCTGCCAAGCAGGGGCACCCACCCCCCCGGGGGGCTCCGGGCGGGTCTGCCCGGGCGGGGAGCGGGGCTGAGTCCCGGGGCAGGGCGGCCGAGGCGCCCGCCCTCGCTCGGGCTGCGGCTCAGCCACGTGTCCGCGAGATTTAAAAAGTTTGGGGAGGGAGCGAAGGCAGGGCCAGAGAGCGGCTGGCAGGGAGGCAGCGCCAGGGACGCCGCAGGGATGGGAACGCTCTGCCGGCAGCAGCAGCAGCCCCAGCCCCCCGCAACCAGCCCGGGGGCCGGCAGGGCGCTGCCGGGGGCCCCGCTGCTCCTCCTCCTCCTTCTCCTCGCGTCCTCCGTGGCAGCTTGCAAAGGTGAGGAGCATTCCCCTCTCAAACCCTTCCTGCACTGCCGGCCTTGCTATGGCTTTTTTGTTTGTTGGTTGGTGTTAAGGGAAGGTGACCCCGGCAGCCTGATAACCTTGCGAATGGGAGGGTAGGGCATGAGGAGGGCGGGAGGGGGGGAGAGCTGCTCAGCGACCTGCTGCCAGCCCCTGCCTGCCCCTGCCTGCCCCTGCCTGCCCCTGCCTGCCCCTGCCTGCCCCTGCCTGCCCCTGCCTGCCCCTGCCTGCCCCTGCCTGCCCCTGCCTGCCCCTGCCTGCCCCTGCCTGCCCCTGCCTGCCCCTGCCTGCCCCTGCCTGCCCCTGCCTGCCCCTGCCTGCCCCTGCCTGCCCCTGCCTGCCCCTGCCTGCCCCTGCCTGCCCCTGCCTGCCCCTGCCTGCCCCTGCCTGCCCCTGCCTGCCCCTGCCTGCCCCTGCCTGCCCCTGCCTGCCCCTGCCTGCCCCTGCCTGCCCCTGCCTGCCCCTGCCTGCCCCTGCCTGCCCCTGCCTGCCCCTGCCTGCCCCTGCCTGCCCCTGCCTGCCCCTGCCTGCCCCTGCCTGCCCCTGCCTGCCCCTGCCTGCCCCTGCCTGCCCCTGCCCCTGCCCGCCGCTGGGCAGGGGTCGGGTGCGGGGCTGGGAGAGGGGCAGAGAAGAGAGGGGGCCCCGCAGCTTCTGGGTACGACTTTGGAAGTTGGTTTTGACGGGGAGGGCTTCCTCTTTGTACCCCGGCAGGATTGCCCTATCCAGGCAAAACGACACGCTAGCAACTCGGGGAAGTGGCTTTTGTTGAAATTGGTTTCATTTGAAATATAATTTACTCTGATTGAAAAGCTAAAATGAATTAAATGTATCATGGAATTGTAGAAAAATGTAGGACCCTCTGGACGTGGCTTAGTCCAATCTGAAGCAGTATTTATTGCATAAGGAGTTTCTGAGAGTGGGGTTAAGTGGGAAAGGATAGTGCTGCTCACCTGCTGTAGGCACAGGGCTTGATTAACTTCATTTAATTTGGAATGTTGTCTGGCACCTGAAATTTGCTATTTTTGTAGCAGGGAATGCTTGTGAAATGAGCACAGCTAATGGGCTTTTTAACAGAACATACTCTCTTCTGTTCTATTTTCCCACTCTAGATAGGTGAACTACTTATACCTTGTGAAGTAGCATCACAATATGCATTGCTTTGCAAGGAGTATTTCTCATTTGTATTATATGTTTGTGAGTTGCTTTAATCAGGAGGTTTTGTTCTAATGTATTGGGTGTTTTTTTTTAATAGCAAGAATCAAATCCAGGTACAGTATACTTAATATTCTGTTAAAAATGAATGCTGGAGATGTGGAAGAGGGGGTGGAAGGAAAAGGAGAGTGAGGAAGGGCAGTGGCACACAGTGTTTCATCGTCGTTCTTGTGGAAATGATTGCCAGGAGCTTGTGTTGGGAGAGCAGTGGAGGGAAGAAGATGTAAGAAGTGAATCCCAGGTTGAAAAGTGACTGAAACAGTGCATCTGGCGTTCTGCTACATAGAAGGAAGCTGAGTTTTTAAAAGTTGGCAGAATTGAAGGATAAGAGAACAGATGTACCATGGACAGCGTCAGTTTTGTAGCAGGATTCCCTTCTCCGTGTTCCTTTTGAATAGGATTGCTTTCCTCAGTAGCATTTATTTATTTATTTATTTATTTCCCTACCCTTTATGGTTATTTTGTGATTATTATGAAATAACCTGTTGCTTTCCTGTCTGCGCTGTTGTGTATGTGTGTAAATGAATGAAGTCCTGTAGAGACTGCAGCCCTATGCTGGATGGAGGGACACCCCTCAGTGCTGGGAGGAAGAGAGTCCCATGTGTAAGCACAAAACAGATGGGACAGCACGTGGAAGTGAAGAAGGGTTAAGGAAACTTAATGGCTGGTGAAATAATTCTCTTCTGTTCAAAATTTTATGGTCCAGGCAAAAAATCAAACCAAAACCAAAAAACCCCAAGCTGTAATAATCAGGTTTTGCTGCCTGCTGCTCTAAGCTTTACATGCTACTGGATTTCTTCTGCTCGCTCTGGGAAGCCTTGGGAACCAGGCAATAGCAGAAGCAGTCAGAGACAGTCAGGCAAAGGCTTAATGGTGACGGTGTATTTATTCGAAGTGTTGCCCAGTTCCACTCTTTACAACCAGGATACCAGTCCAAGGCAATACTCTAATTTTAATATACTCATTTAATAATAGAAAGCAAAGTAAAATAATGTAGCACCTTTAATTTAGTAGGCATTTTTACTTGAACTAAAACATCCAAAAAAGCAAATTTTTAATTGAAAGCAGTTTTCTTGTTATGTGAACATCTCAGAGATTTAAAAAATATTCCACTTCTATATAGCATGAAATTAAGAACCCCATCATTTTTTAATTAATTAATTTTTTTTTTTTAGAAAACAAACATCCAGAATAATTAGTCACCTTAACTCTGTAGTTTTGAAATCCACCCTTTAATGCCTGAAACTAACTACTGTTATAATTATTGTTATTAGTGGTACATGTAAAACAAATGAAGATGATAGGCATTCATACGCTGTTCATCTGGCCATTCTAGCTAGGTATACCCTCACCTCTTTTTTTTGTTTAATTTGGTTCAGTATCTTGGGGGGGGGGGGGGGGGGGGGGGGGACCACGGGT